GATTGCAAGGAGCAAGGATATGTCTGACTATTTACATAGGGCCATTTCAGGCTTATCAGCAATTAAAATCTACTGGTGTTAAACCTGATAAAAGAATTAATTGCAGGAATAATTTTAGCTAATTTACTCTGATAGGTTTGAATCTCTTATAATGGCTTTGAAAATTGTGGTGAGGCAATAACAGTTGACAATGTTAAAAATCGCTTGTTAGCTGAAGATTCAAAACCCCTAGTCAATGAAAGTAAGGAAGGAATACGCATTTGTTAATAACAAATATTGGAAGGCAAAAGGTACTTTAAAGGAAAATGTTTTAAATGCAATTTGTTTGGGCCACAAAAGCTCCTGATTGTCAGAAGTCACCTCTCAAAAAGGGATAGATATAATGAAAACAAGCTTAACAAAAAGTCTAATCTGTTGGATTAAAACATAAAAAAGGGGAAGAAGCTTATGTAGTGCAGAAATTCAGTGTAGCTAATTCTAATCCACATCCCAATATTTCGTACATGGATTCTTGTGCTTCTTACCACATGACTCCACATAAAGAATTATTAGATGATTATCAGGATGCTAGTATTCATCAAATAAAAACAGGAAGTTCAGTAATAGAAGTAGAGGGTAAGGGTAAAATAACTTTCCTCTTATCTAGAAATAAAAAAAAGGGAGTCTGTAACTTTTAGTAATGTTTTACACGTTCCAAAGTTAACAGCCAATTTGCTGTCCATTAAGTATTTAAATAAAGTATTTGGAATGGTTAGTACTTTTACAAGTGAAAGATGTTTTTTGTATGATGGTAAACATTTAGTTGCTACTGGAACAGGTATGGGAGATAATTTGTATTCTCTTGATTTATGTAATGAGTGGGCTTTAATTACTGATAAAAATATTTCAAATGAATATTACACAAAAGAGTGGGCCATTTAAGTGAAGGAGGAATGACCAGATTAAAGATATGGTCGAAGGTTTTACATTTAACGGAAAATTGTTAAATTGTGTGTCATGCATTAAAGGCAAAATGCATAGACAACCATTTCCCAAGGAAAAAAAGCTAAGCGTGCAAAAGAGTTATTAGGCATAGTACATAGTGACCTGTGTGGGCCTATGAATGTTACATCAATTGGTGGTTCTCGCTACTTTATTAGTTTTATTGATGATTGTCGCGAATGACTTTTGTTTATTTTTTGAAAAATAAATCTGAAGTTTTTGAAAAAATTCAAAATATTTCAAGCATTTGTGGAAAGGCAAACTGGCAAATCAATCAAAATCTTACACTCAGATAATGGTACTGAGTATGTAAACAATGAGATGGATAACTATTTAGCATCAAATGGAATTCAGCATCAAAAATCTATTCCCATTTACACCAGAGCAAATGGGTGTAGCTGAACGTAGTAACAGAACTCTTGTAGAGCGAGCACGATCAATGTTGGTGGATGCTCACCTTGATCAAAATTATTGGGCTGAAGCAGTGCAAACTGCAAATCACTGTAAAAATATATCTCCAACTATTGCAGTTGCAGGTATGACCCCTTATGAAAAATGGTATGGGGATAAGCCAAATTTAGAATACTTGAGAGTATTTGGATGTCGTGCATTTGCTCACATTCCAAACAAAAACGTAAAAAGTGGGATATAAAAGCAAAGGAATTAATGCTTGTTGGGTACTGTCAGGATAGAAAAGGCTATCGATTAATAGATCCCAAAACTTATGAAATAATAAATGCACGAGATGTACAATTTTGGAAAATGAAATGTACTACAAAAAGGCAAGTAATATGCCAAAATTTCTATGGATGAATCCTCATTCAGTGGGAGTGTGATTATGACATTTTCAGATACTGAGAATGCAATAGCTGATGATCAGAATGGTGAATTGGAAGGGATGGTTAATGATAATACTCAGTCTGATCATGAATTAGTTAATGCTAGTATTAAATCTAATTCACGATGAACATAATACTGCTCAAAATGATAGCCATGATAACAGTAGTATAGTTGATGAGCTACCTACATTGACCTAGAAACAGAAAACTTAGATTCCCAAATAGTTATCACGGACTTATGACACACACGGGATGCCAGAAATGCCAATGCCAAATTTAGATCGTATGTGCTTTGTTAAAGCTTATGGCAGCAGCAACAAATGGTGTGTATTCTGAATCGAAAACCATTGATGAAGCATTAAAGGGGCAATGATGCAAACCATTGGAAGGATTCTATATGTGAGACTATATTAGGTCATATTAAAAACAAAACACTTGGGAAATAACAGATAAACCTTATGATAAGAACATTGTAGATTGTAAATGGGTTTTCAAAATTAAATTGTAAGTTCCAGTAGGCAAGATTGAAAGATATAAGACACGTTTAGTTGCTAAGGGCTATTCTCAGATTGAGGGGAATAGATTATACTGAAACATTTGCACCAGTTGTCCGATACGTAACATTAAGAGTTTTATTAGCTTATGCAGCTATATATGATTGGGAAATTGACCAAATTGGATGCTGTAATGGCTTTTGTACAGGGAACTCTAAATGAAGACATTTATATGAAAATTCCAGACGGTTTCAGTGAATTTTACAAGCAAAAACTTAAAGGGAAAGGTCCTAAAATTAAACAAAGCATTAGATGGTTTAAAGCAGAGTGGTAGACTATGGTACCAACTGTTAGAAAAGGGTTTAATAGAAATGGGACTGAGGCAAAGTTCTTTTGATAGTTGTGTCTATATTAAAATAAATGAAAATAAAGATCTTGTTATTGTTACTATTTATGTTGATGACTTACTCATTTTTAGTAATAACATAGAACTTAAAACTGGGGGTAAAACAACAACTTAAAGAAAAATTTGAAATGAAAGACTTGGGACCAGCAAATTATTGCTTAGGAATTAAAATTGAACGAGATAGAACTAAAGGGTCCATTAGCCTTAGTCAAACTCAGTATGTAGAGAGTATGCTTTGCAAATATAATATGCATGAATCTCATGGTGTAAAAACACCATTAGACCAAAATCAAGTGTTATCTAAACTGCAGATACCAACTAGTAAGGAACAAAAGCTACCTGTTCCTTATCAGCTGCCATTGGGAGTCTTCTTTATGCAGCTCAAGCAACACGGCCAGATATAACTTATGCTGCGAATTTTCCTTAGCCAGTTCTCCAATAATCCAGCAAGGGTTCACTGGAATGCTGTCAAGCGCATCATGCGGTATCTTCGAGCCACTACAGATGCTACATTGTCTTTTTCAAAGGACCTATAGTGCTGATGTCCTTGGTTACAGCGACTCAAACTATGGAGGTGATGCTGGGGAATCGACGATCAACCACTGGATATGTTTTCCTCATCGGAGGTGGTGCAGTGTCAATGGTGTAGTAAGCGTCAACCAACCATTGCAGCAACTAGTACAACAGAAGCCGAAGCCGAATATATGGCTCTTTCTGCAGCTACTAAAGAAGCCATATGGCTCAACAAAATTGTTAAAGAACTTTGGGATTATTACTGCAAAGCCAGTATTATTATACTGCGATAACAACAAGTGCTATTAATCTCAGCAAAAATAGTGTGTATCATGGTAGATCAAAGCATATTGATATACAACATCATTTCGTGCGAGAAGCTGTGAAACTTCAGCACATTGACGATACAATATAAGACTACTAATGATATGATTGCAGACTTTTTGACAAAAATTTGTAAACAGTGCAAAACATGAAATGTCTGCAAAAATGATGGGTTTAAAATGAAGACCAATGTAATTTAATGTTTTATTATATGTATGTGTGCTGATGTAATTTCTCATTGTATTTAATTAGGATGATATTTAAACCTAAAGTGGGAGTGTAAAAAAGGTTAGCTTTAAATATGTTCTTGGCCCATAGATGGCACCACTGTTTTTATATTCTATAACTGTTCACTCCAATAAAACTTCACTTGTGTTCCAAACTCCCAACAGGTATGTTGTGTATTATTTATTCTCATGCATGCAAGTAACCACTCTCTGCTATATTGAGTTTCTAATACTTGAACTGTATGTGCCTTCTGGAAATTTCGAGAAATGAAAGGTATAAGAGATATCTCAGCAGCCAGAGGAAAACTATATAAGACCACAGACAACATCAGTTCTCAGTAAACTTTGGAGCACTGAGAGATCTCCAAGCTGGAAGGACAGAAGATAGTAACTGTCAAACCACTAATAAGTTTCTTGAACAAAAACATATCAAAGTGGGAGAACATCAACTCTATTCACCTAATCCAGCTACGTGTGACTTTTCGCTATTTCTTAATCTAAAAAAAACAAGGACATTGTTTTCATTCTGAAGATGAGGCTATATATTCAGTTTTTTTCATTGATTCCAAGAAATGAATGGCTTGATGCATTTAATCTTTGGAAAATCCATCTACAGAAGTGACTGATGCTGGAGGAGACTACTTTGAATGCTTCTAAAATTTTGCAAGTATAACTTTAAAAACCTATGTGCATCTAAAAAATTTCAGAGTAACCCCATATATATATATATATTATATATATACACATATACTTACAAAAGATGAAACTTCAAAAGATCTAAGCAAATATTCATAACGATGTTTTAAGTTGCTTGGCAAATAACTTACCCCGATATGGAAAGTAGAATCATGATTTTACATACTTTTAACAATTGCTGAATACAGAAACTTTTAAAAGAACTGATACTAGCTGTAGTAAATTTAATATGATATTGTTTCAATAACAGACATTCTCTTATATCTCCACAGACCCAATAATCAGCATTAGTAAATTTATAATAAGACATGGCCAAGGAATTATTACCTGTTAACAGATAATATAACTGCAATATAGAAATTGTGTAATTTAGATTGACCGTTGGTAGATAATTAAATGCAAGATTGTGCCTGTTCACAAATTTTCTACTCTTTTTTAGATAACTTAATGACATTTTCAAAAGATAGTTTTTAACACATTATTTGTACAGCATCAATTTCAGTTCTTGCTAATTACTTACTTTATCAGTGAAAAGCTCCAGAATGTATGTCGATAATGTTGTTACTATGCCGATAAAAACGTTTAAACATGCCAAAGCAACAAAAGCTGAACTAGGAATATTGAAGAAATAAGTGGTTGGATACATCAGAGGAATGCTAGACCATCTAAAACAGGAAAATCAAGTTATATGCTTTTACTTGAGCAATATTATGTTTTGTAACAAATCAAGTACCAAAACAGATGCATGATATTCCTATTTTTTGAACACTACTATTAAATTTGCACTACATTTGATTTCACCGGAAAATCTTTATATAATAAACAAATAAATTAAATTTGGAACAATATATTTGAAAAATTGAGTGCTAGTACCTTCAAAATGTCGAAAAATTATATAAATCAAAAATAATTTAACAAAGTTTGCTGACTAAACACTTATATATCACAGTTGTTGCAAAACATATACAATTTTAATATAGTTTATAACTATATACTAAAAAAATAACATAATGATAAAATATGCATTGCTTAAATATTTTAAATGTAATTTTGTCCCACCAGACCAAAGCCAAAACTTTTTGATTCTCACCAAATTTAAAAGCATTTTCATATGTTAACCTTCATTTTGGTACATATCTTAAGCCAGTGTGGTCCAACCTTTAGTTACCTGAGGGCCAATCAAACGTTAGTGTAGGAGAGTGACGGCCAGATACATGAAGGAAAGAAAATGAATTACATATAAATCACTAGTTTAATATATCACTTTATTTTAGTCTAGAAATCAATATGATGATTGGCACTACTTTTTTGTTACAAGTTTATCAATGTCCACTGTAATTTCAGTAAGGCAAAGTCTCAGGCTCAATTCCAGTGAAGCACTTTCAATGCAATTTCTTGTTTTGATTTAATTTGTCTGAGAGCAGAATAAGCGCTTTCACACACACATGTTCTTCCAAACAGTGATAACAATTGCAAAGAGAATTAATGTAGTTTGGGAAAACCTTCTTTAGAAACCAGTTTCCAGAAATGTTCAGTGACATCACAATTTTTAGTTTGGTAGAATGGATCTGCCTGAAATCACAAATTTCAATTTGAAGGTCGCAAGGCACCTCATTTACTTCAATCTCCATGGGGTTGTTTAACAAAGTTTTGTTTTTAGGGAGTAAAATCCTGATATCTGTCCTGGAACTCTTTCTTGATATCAGTAATTATTTCATGGAACATACTAAAATTTGTGCAATTTCTTCTTTCAGTTTCTGACAAAATGGGAAGTGTGCTGTATTATTTGCCTTCAGCACAATTTATATTACTTTAAATTTTTGAGAAAGCCTTCAATATGTCCATAAAGCTGGGATATATTTTGTTTTCTGCCTTTTAGTTTCATGTTTAAAGCTTTAGATGGAATGTTAAATCCGTGAGAAGAGCAAAATTATTTAAAAACCGGATTTCTTACAATTTTTCTAGATACTCATACCCAATGTTTTCTTTTTCGAGGAAAGCAAGAATTTCATTCCTCAGTGCAAAAAACTGTTGCAGACAATTTCCAGCAAGTAGCCGCACCTGACAGTACAATAAGATGTCACCATACTCAGTATCCAAATTGCCCACAATTGCAATAAATGCTCTGTGTCTCTGGGCTTTGCCTCCCCTTATTCAATTTACAATATTTACAACAGTTTTCATTGTCTCACTGAGCCTTATAATTTTTCCACAGAAAAGCTCATGATGGATAATGCAGTGGAAAAACAAACAATCTATTCCTTTTTCTTAACACAGTCCTACTAACCCAGTTCTATCACCAACCATTGCTTTGGCTCCATCTATTGCAACGCCAGAGCACTTCCCGAAACCTCCATTATTTAGTAAAAGCATTATTCAGTGTGTTGAAAATATCAGCACCTTTGGTCCTAGTTTCTAATGATTTTAATTCCAACAGTTCTTCATGAATTTCAAATTTTTCATCTATTGTTTTGACAAAGATAAGAAGCTGGCTGATGTCAGCTATATCTGTGCTGACATCTACAGCTAGAGAGTAAAATTCACATATTCCCAAAATGCTCTTGAAAGTATCTGAAACTTCACTACTCATATCATTAATTTTTCTACTTACAGTCTGATGGGACAAGGACACTGTTTCAAAATTTCTTATTATGTCCTAAAATTATTATTATGTCCAAATGAAGATGCCATTTTTATAGCACATCTTTTAATAAACTCACCACCCCTGAAAGACTTTTTACTTTTAGCTAGCTCTAAGCATACCTCATAAGATGCCTTCAAACCAGCAGTGTTTGACGGTTGCTGAAAGATATTCTTCTGCCTAGTTAGTTTCATCTTCAAATCATTAAACACACAACTCCTGGCACTTCCCTGGTATTGGTTGTATTTTTATTTATGCAATCTGGCATAATGTTTACTCACATTCCATTCCTTTGAAACACTTAAGACTTGAGACCAGATAACACACCGTGGTTTTCCATTATGTTCAAACAAAAAAAAAAAAAAAAAAAAAAAAAAAAAAAAAAAAATTCCTGCTACTTGGATTGAAATTGGTTTCTCATTTTCAGCACATCATTTCTTTAGTTCCGCCATTTTAGGTAGTATTGAATGAAAGAAAAAATGCCACAGAGTATAATGATCGTAGAATGAAGCTTATCATCAAAGTCACATGACTATTCTCAACTTCACCCACAAGACTGTACTGGGATACACAAACCATCAATAGCTTTCTCTACGCAATCTCCCTCATTGGCGCACAGAATCATGTGACATGTAACTCTGCATATTCCAAACAGACTCTCACAAAGATCCATCATTCAAGACTGACTGCTAGCCAAACAGTGTTACTATACATTTTCTCCTGGTAAAAATGGTTCTCCCTTTCCCGCCTCCATGCTTCCGTTCTCACAATCGTTAGCATGCCACAATTCTAGCAAAGTGCCAATAAAGGCAAAAGAGCAATAATAAATTCTCCATAAGACCTGATAAGATCGCGCTTGCCCAATAAATCAGATATAATTCAATATTGTTTATTACTGATGTGGCCGTTATAGGAAAAATGAAGACTGTAAGGTGTGCCATCTTTAGGACCAAAAGAAATTGTCATCTAATGGACAGCTTTGCCAATGTCAATGGTTTCCCACTAAATCTGCTTTTTTGTATCCCCTGCAGTGCAGGTTTACCAGCCAGTTTGCATCCTAGCGACTGTTTTACACTGCTTGTTTTTCACAAATATAATTTATTCAGTTTATTATTAAAGCAGTAAGAAGGGCTTTTTGTTTTTCTAAATGTTTAACTAACACTTTTTTCCCAGTAAGAAAGGCAAGTGTCAACAAAATGAATAAGAGGGCCATATGCGGCCCGTGGGTTGGACCACGCTGTCTTAAGCCATTATCCTACCTACTGTTTGCAAAAACTGGAAGAGTTTGAATGATAATTTCATCCAATACTAGGTTTTCTTTGCAAATGTATTCAGCATAGTACTGCTGTATTAATATTTTCTTATGTTTAGTATTAATGTTATGTCTGATATGTACAATGCATTTAATGTTTTTTCATTAAAAACACATTCAGTCAGTCTTTCTCTCTCTCTCTATATATACACACACACCCTATAGATACATCATTTTGTATAAAAACAAAATAAATAAAACCAAATAAAAACATTGCAAGAAACTTTTGTTTTAAAGTTCTCATATTCTTCTTTAGTTGCCCTACAGCCTATTACAGGCCAATGCCATCCCAACAAGCTTACACCAATGGATCCGATCAGATACTATGGTCTGCCAACGACTGACTTGAGATCTGCTTCCACACAGTCTATCCATCTTGTGTGAGGTATTCCTCTTTTCCTGGTATCCTCTACACTTGAAAACATGACTTTTTCAAATTACCTTTCAAAAAGTAATTTGAAAAGGTTTAAGTTGTCACATCTAAAAATATGTCGAAGCTACCTGATATGATAAGATTTGATGACACAGATAATATTAGGTTGTTTGTATCTTCTATAGATTTCATGGTTAAACTAAATTCTCCATCTATTATTTTCTCTAACTGGGCCTTTTTGGAGTATTTTACTTTCAAAGATCAGAAGTTTTTCTTTACCTGTTTTTGTTAATGGTTAGCATTCACTGCCATACAATATCATAGGTCTAATAAGAGTTGTATAAAGATTAATTTTTGTCTTGAAGTTTAATAATTTAAACACAATAAATTCTTTAAACCATGATAAAATCTATTAGTTCTAAATAATATATTGTGAATTTCAAGTTTAATACTGTTATCATTAGAGATGATAGTACCGACATACGTAAACTGAGCAACCAACTTGAAAGTATAAGAATTTATTTTGCAGTAGAAGGAGATTATGTGCTCTAATTACTACTGCCATAAATTTTGTGTTACTCTCATTAATGATTAGTTCAATTTCTCTAGCTGCAGATTCTAGAGAAATAAAGTCTCCATAACTCCCTGCTTACTTCTGCCAATAATGCCGATGTCATCAGTGTACCGTATAGAGTCTGAAAAGTGGTGCCTCTAGATGTAATTCCAACATTTCTAATAGCCTTTTCAAGGGTGATATTGAAAACATATGCCTGCATGGGCCATCACCTTGTTTCAAACCCCTTTATGTGTATTAAACTCTGCAATTTTCTCTTCAAAGTCATTCTAGATAGACCAACCAATTTTCTAGGAAATCTTAATTCCAGCATAGCTTTAAACAGCATTTCATGGTGTATGCTCTCATAGGCAGTTTTAAAATCAACAAAAAGATGAAAGGTATCAACATTATGTTCAATAGTTTTACCAAAATTCATCTAACAGAGTGAATTTGATGAATAGTAGAATTTCTAGCTTGAAATAAACATTGGTAGCTGCTAATAACTGTAGATGCATACTGTAATAACACATTACATAAAATATCGAAGAAGATTTTAAATGCAGTATTTAAGAGGGTGATTACTCGGTAGTTGTAACATTCCAGGAAATCTCCTTTTTAAAAAATGGGACATATGGAGCCCTCTTCCCATTCAATGGGCATATCAGCTCTCTAGTCCAAACATTAAGTAAAACTTTATGAATAGCATCGATCAGTTCAGGTAGACCAATATTAATAAGTTCTGCTTTAATATCACGTGGTCCTGCAGCTCTATTGTTATTTAGATTCTCACTAGCCTTCCTCACATCACACAAGGATGGTGCATCAAGTTCCAGAGTTCAATCATTCTCAGAAACATTCAGGTCAGTAAAAATTCTCATATTAGCATACTAAAAAAGTTGAAATTAATTCTCAGTTTTTTTTATGAAATTTCTGCTGTTTACACCTACTAGAGTGGTTAAATATAAATCAGGAAACTCACAATCTGTAATGAAGTATTGATCGACTTGTGTAATAAAGTCCAACTAAAGGAACTTACCCATATAGAAAGAGAAGTAATACAAAGCCAGCAATGTTATCTTTGGAAACATAAGCATCTTCTTCAAACACATAGAAAATTAATATGCACAGGCTGAAAGGTACCAAGTAGTTGCACTGGTAGGGGGAAAAACACATTTATACTCATATACAATACACATACATAAATACAAATATATATATAATTAAAAAATTAACTCCTATTTCAGAATGAATAGTTTTATTTTATCTCTTAGATCATGAACAGTTGTATTTTGTCTCTTAGATCAAACAATTCTATTTTATCTCTGATATGAAATGCTGAAGTATTTCTTAGGTTATGTGAATGGAAAGGACTAAATAAATATTTGTATACTGCAATCATTTATGTAGGCAATGGTTCACGTCAAACTCGAGTAAATAACTGATTAATGTAGGTAAGATCAGACTCTCTCAGAAAGGAATACTTTCATATGACATAAAATCCTGGTTGAATAGGAAAACCATTTCAAAGCAGAAGCAATTCACCAACTAGTAATTTACTCTTAACAGGCTTTATTGTCAGTTTCAAAAGAAAAGGCTTGGTGTATTCTAAAGTGGCAAATGATCCATTTCCCTTTTTCAGAAATTTTGATCTTATGGGAAAATTTTCATAATTTTAATAATGGACAAAACTCAAATTTTGTTTCCAAATAATCATTTTAAAAAGAAAAGTCTTGGTGCTTTCCGAGTCACAAAGATATCTCTTTTTCTGAGAAGCTAAGTTTGATTTCTAAAACTAGTCAAAATTTCAGCTTTTTTCCATTCCCTATAGATACATACACACTGGTCAGCAGAAGAGCTGGTGAAATTGCCTGTGTGGCAGAACTTTAGGGTGACAAAATTTTTAGGGATGGAATATATTTTAGAATTTAGGAATGCATGGACAGTATAATTTATGGCCTGCAGATTTCACTTCTGGTAAGCCATCCTAATTCTAATCTCTATTTAATATAAGCTTTCAATGAATATGTGGCTTCATAGATTTTCAGTTTATTTTAAAGACAAGAATTACTTATTGTCAAAATAGAATTCCATTCTCTTAAGTGTGAAATTCCAAGGCTTGCCTTAATCAACTAATGCACATTAGCCATACTGGCAAAGAATTTTACAAATAATTCTATGAATTCATATCTGAAACAGGAACACAACTATGACAGAAGAAAGTAACAAGACAAAAGTTAACCTTATTTAAAACAGTTTTGTAACAAATTGAATGAAAGTATGAAAAAAATGACTACAATAGTTTCTGTCAGAACAATAGAAACCTAGTATTTCTTTCTGAAATTTCTGAGCTGAAATTTTGACTAAAGCTAAATGAAAGATTGTAACTCGGATATCGGGTGGAACATTCTCAAATTTCTCTTTAGTGTTTTCATGCAGAAACATGTTCCTCCCATTTGGAATAGGGGTCTGTAGCTCAAGAAGATTTTATTTAACTAAAAAAAAAAAAAAAAAAACTACCAGAAAATTTAGTCATGCATGCCAATTCTTGTTATTTAGTTTTCATTAATTTAACATTACTGTTGATATTAAGTATGTGAATAGAATAAAATACTTGTATTTTTTAATCTGAAATCCTGAATTTACCAAGTCCCAAGTATAGGTTCCAATCCAGTATACCACAGGTTTCACACCACTCACAAATTGTAAATGCTTGGAACCTGACACTTTGTCCTCAATGAGAAACATCACAAAGCTTGCAGTTACGAAGGACATTGCAAAAATAACGCATACCGCATGCATCAAACTCAATCCTTTCCGTTCCCTGCAAAAATGCAATCTATTATTTATTTATTGCACATAAGAAAATGAAAAAGAAAATCATAATATACGAATAATCTTTACATACAGAACCTCATCCTTGAGTTGATCTTGGGTAAAATTCATCGGATGGTTAATGACAGAAATCCCATAGTAGCTGGCATTGGCTCCAGGAGGCAAACTGGATCTGAGAATTATGTTGTTCATTGCATTCATATATGATACAGAAGATGCCCAACCTTTGTTGTTAAACCAAACCTATAAGAAAGCATCAGAACAGCTTAAGGATAAAAATGCCCCCAAAAATGAACATGAAAGAAAAAAAAAAAAAAAAAGCATAATTAATTGCCTTAATAAAAATTATAAATTCTTACATGAATGAGCATTATGAAAAGAAAAGTATTCATAACATGAAGAGGACGACCAAGAGTAATATCCAGTGGTAACGGTACAAATTTCGTAAGGGCAAGGAATCTACTCTGATCTGTTGACTGGAACCAAATTATCAGAATATCTTCGACAATGAAAATTGAGTGGAAGTTAAATCCACGAACTACAGCTTGGTGGGAAAGACTGGTTCAGATGATCAAGAAATTTTTTAGAAGGGTCCTGGGAAAAGAATTACTCTCATATGAAGAAATGTTAACTATCATGTGTGATGCAGAAGTAGATATCAACTCCAGACCATTAACATATGAGTCAGAAGATTCCACCAATTTATGTGCACTCACTTCATCTATTTTTATTCAAGATGTTTGAACCGAAGGAGTTCCAGATCTAGACAGCCTAGATAAAATCCACTTACCGGTGATACCACCAAAAGTTGTGTGTGGAATTCTGTAAAAGATTTAGAGATGAATATCTTGGACTGCTAGTACATCAACCGAAGACTGTACCTTTGCGAACCATCAAGAAAGGTGATTTAGTGTTTCTAGAGGATAATAAAAGGAAAAGAACAGACTGGCCTATGGGTCGTGTAATCAAAACCTACTCAGGAAATGACAAAAACATCAGAGTGGCAAAAGTAAAAAAATCTAGTGGTGAACTGTTAAGACGAGTTCAAAGGCTATTTCCAGTGGAGATAGACAATCTATCTTTGAGCTTAAAACCACTGTGTCATTCACATCTTCAGGAAATACTAGAAAAACTTAGTAACCATTAACCAAAGACTGAATCTGAAGACTCGAATAAAAACATTCAGTTTAGTAATGAACTGTGAAGCCAAAGAACTTTAATTAAATTTAATTTGTTTTCACTTTTTTGTTATTATTTTCTCTGAATTTAAATTTTGTATACAATGTGACTTTATTAGGTTTTAGAGAACTAATCTATTTACTAGTATTTCTCAGAAAAGAATTTTTTGCTTTTGGAGTATATTAAGTTTAAAATATTCAAGATATTTGTTACGCCTAGGATAGTGTTGTTAATTTGTGGTAAGATTTTAATTTCTCATCTTATATTGCTATTTAAATTTTCATTTCATACTTGTTTTGATTTTCTCATTCTTTGTCAAAAACCAAAAGATAGAAGAAATGTTACAACTTAAACATGAAATGAGCAAAAGTTTCGCTTCTGCTAGTGGCAACAGGGAGTCAAAAATCAAAACTCTGAAGACAGCGGTTGGTTACTCAGCTTTTCTTAATGGAATCTGATTCGAATGGGGAATTATTCTCATCTTTTGATTTAAAATTAATCTTGAACCATGTAAATAGTGTAATATAGCAGATATGTGTAAATAAAAAGTCATTAAGACTTATTTTGAGTTATGATTTGAATTTGAATTGGATTTAGTCAATCGAAAGCTCTCCCCAAATAGAATCGTCAGCATTTTGCAATTCGTGGATTAGAACAAGCTTGTAATTTTGTTTTGACTCTTATTATTCTTATCAAAATTGCAGTTTTTAGTAAATAATAATGTCTTTTTTTCTCTTTCTCTGAAACTGCACATTTGACAGTCAGTCAATTGATATCAAAATTGGATATCAGAAAAAATGCTGATATAAATAGAGTAGCTTTAAAAACTGAACTGAAATAACAGCACCAAAGACTTTTAAAAGTATTTTGATATAACATCTGATGTGGGAGGCATTAGAAGATTATTAGAGGGCATGTCTGCAGATATTTTTAAAAATGCTTGAAATAGTCTATAGCCAGCTATCATATTTTGTGATGAGGATAAGAGCTGCGAATCTCGTGATGCCAAGAAAAAGCAAAATTTTCAGATTAATAGAATATGAAAAGAAATGCTAAGTGAAGATGATGTAACTGAAGTCTTATACTGCGATAATAATACTTCAATTGCCAATCAGTTAATAATATAACAAATATCAGTAGCATGGTTTTAAATCCAGAAAATATATCCATGTTGGCTTCAAGTCACATTTCAGTTTCACGCAATAGTGATTCATAAAATTTAGCATTTTATACACATTTAAATATGCAACACAGCCCTTTTTTACGGAATTTTTTAAAAAAATTTTACTTTAAATGTTTCATTAATTAAAGTTTTTAAAGCATTCACTCAATAATTCAGGGTAAATGATCTAATGTCTTAGGAATAGATTCTATCATCTTAAAAGAGATAGAAAAGGTGGACTAGTGAGCGACCTTTTTTCCCTGTACTAAGCAGTTCCCTTTTCCATGTTAGATATTTTAAAAGAAAGTGGATCGAAACATTTTCTGACACTTAAATGGCTCACTTGCCAAAGAGTTTTGTTAACTGATATGATGATGGTAAGTGGTCTGAAAAGAGTCACCAATAACAATAGAAATGTGATATATCTGATGCAGACACCACATGACTTCCTTGTACAGAATATTAAATTATATGCTTTTTGCTGCAATTCATTCAATGTCATTTCAGAGATAGATTTCTCATTCTATTGAATTTAGTTCTCCCTTCACAGCAAGATATATAATATATATTAAATCTCAAAACATCTTCATTAGAAACTTTTCAGTTTCACAGAGAAAACATAAAACACCAAATACAGTTAAAAAATTAAAAAGAAAAACTTTTATAATTAAAATTAGAGTTTCCATGCAAAAACAAGCAATTCGGCCAGCAGGTGAGAAGGCAGATTTTTTGATGTGCAAACCTGAAAGTTTACTTTTGGTCCCACTCGGTAAAACGACACTGAAAATGCAGAAACAGACTTATTTCACTATTCTATCCAGTTTCAAATGTAAACAAATATGGCTGCTATAGTAAAAAATAAATTAGGCTTAGCTGCATTTAAACAACTATTAAATTGTTGATAATTCTATAATTATTGCATGCAGATTAACTAAAGGCATAAAAAACTTGACCAGAAGTTAAAAACAATGTAATTCAATCATTTTTAAAGGGAAAAAATGCACAATTTACAAACATAAAAGAATAATAAAAAAAAAAAATAATAAGTTAAAAAAAAATTAGCTCACTGAGCCGAGTAACAGAGTGTGTATATGTATATACATACATACTTTAGGTGCGGCCGATTGCAACCAAAAAGGGAGGTGCACAACTACATATTATAGCAGTCCTATATGCAAAATTTTAATGTTCTGAGGTTCCTCATTTTTAAGTTTTGGGAGATATATTTTTGAGTTATGCAAGATATGATTTTTTTTTTGTACATTCAGATGTCACAAAAAATGTCTTCTGAATCTATTTTAAATCAATTTTATAATCCGTTTGGGCAAAACAGTTCTTTATTCTGCCCTTATATATAGATGTCATGCAAAAACATCGTTAAATTGCATTCGATAACAGTCAAAATGGATACCTGGAATTTTTCAAGATTACAATATTTTTATTTCGTACAAGGAAGGAAAATGGTATCACTGTTCGAAACACAAGAGATTCTGCTTCTATCTGCAGTTCAGACGTGGGATATTAATATATTCAATAAGAATTTCTTTAAAAGGGAAAAAAAAATTTATTTTTGATGAAAGAGTTTCTTGAAAGATGAATCTGAACTTTTATGCAAGAAAACGTTTCAACATAAAATGTTTTATGTGAGAAAACTGAAATGCTATCAAAATGGGAAAATGCTTGGGACTTCATGAAATAAACTCCTTAAATGGGAAAACTAAACATTTAAAATGGAAGGAAATTTTAAACAAGAAAATTCAAATTGGAATTTCTTAAATAGGTTTTATTGCTTAGCAAAAGATCTTTTATATTATAAACAAGCATATGACAATAAAACTTATAAAAAGATTTTTTGCTGAATAGTAGTTGCTGAAATTCAAATATACAAGGAAAAAATTGACACAGATTATGTAAATCCTCCCATTTATACTAAAATAAATAAATAACCTATCTGATTCCAAATAAGAAGCTGGTTCTTTTACTGATTTATTTCATCACATTTAAAAAAGATTACATCATACAATAGATCATTACGCTTGTTATTGCTATCAGCTCCTTTGGAAATAATTTTAGAAGCATCCCCACCCCCCGAAAAAATGTAAATTCTCTTTGAGGAAAATCTTCTAGTTTTTGAAATGTTTCCCAAAATTTCAAATCAGAAAAATCCAAGGTATAAAATTTTCAGGTTTCCGTATGGTATGTCACATCAGTATTTATAATATATAGAACAGCAAGTTAATACAAATTTCGCAAAACAAATTGCATTCTCACCTTGACATTATCAAAAACCTCCAAGCTTCTCAACTTGTTCTCGATGGCTATAACAATATCATGTACTTTATCCGTTTGGTTTTCGGTCAGAAACTTTCCAGCAAACCTTCTGACCATGTAATGAATGAGAGTGAAATTGACAGCTGATAAAGGATTCTTTAACCCAAATGTGAAGCCACCATATCTAAATACAATAATTTCCTTTTTATAAGAATAGGCAAAACAATAACAAAGTACATCCGAGGGCTACATAAACATTCAAATCAATTTCAATTATGGAATAACATATATGAAAATACTTAGAATAGCTTTAATGCTTTTAAGATAAATACAGTCAAAAGTCGTTAATTCGGACACCCATAATCCGGAATGATCTATAATCCGGACCTCAAAGCTACAAACTTTCTTTGTATGTGTCGCTGTGATGCATGCGCGCGAGACCTTTACGGCTGCGAATATGCATGTGCGCATGCGCAAAATATGTTTACGAATGCACGTTTAATGTATAATGGACGGTATAAGCTAAGCTAAAATTATCTAATTCAATTAATGTTGCAGATTGCGTTGTTCCTTAATCTTCGAATTGGATCCGGCTTATTCTTTTTTGCAGACTGTTAGAGCAATTTTATAAAAGTAAGCTTGAACTTTCGATTATGTCAACAGAATTTCTGATATATATTTACTAATATGTAAAGGATATACAAAGCGAAAGTATGTTTCGAAGTAAATTAAACAAAAAGTGGAATTGCTGCAAAAAATGGATAAAGGATAATGGATTTGTTTATCTAACCATTCCGAAATCTGTTTATCAATTTCACGCTGCTTTGCGTGTGGGGGGGGGCATCGCGGTGCGCAATGAACTGGAAGTTGATCTGTCAGCACTATCCTTATCTTCAGGGCAGATGTTTTTATTTTATTTGGCTTATAATTCCTTACTAAATGTAGTATTTCATCTCGATGTACTCCGTCTTTGATATGATTTAAATCAAATTCCTCCTCATAATAATTCGCTTCCGATAGTGAAGAAAGTGACACAGAGGTTATTGAAAATGAAAAAATTTTGATTCACAAATTAGTCGGTATTCTCGACACAGCAATTATAGGACTTGAACAGCGGAACTTTGTAACTGAACAAGAAATTATGTCTGTTTATAGAATTAAAGAGAAAGTATTATCACATAAAAAACGAAGCAACTTAAACAACTTACATTGAAAGAAATGTTTAATAAAGTAAACAAATAAATATTAAGCTTTTTTTTTTTTTTTTTTGTAAATTTTGATACCCTTTAGATCATAATTGTTCTTTATTTCATAAATTACGGTTTCATATTTTTAATTTTATAATTTCTGCATGCCATCTTACCAGATTTAAACTGATGATCTATAATCCAGAAAAATCGATAATCTGGAATCGCCGAAGTCCTGACGAGTCCGGATTAACGACATTTGACTGTAAATGCTTCTCAAAATATTAATTACCTGGATTTAATGGATTATAAAAAGCATACTGGGAAGAGTTGGGCTGTTTCCAGAACTGTGGAAGAAACAGGGGGGAAAAAAAAGACAGAAAAGGGAAGAAACTGGTAGAAATTAACAATAAGGCTCCTAAAAGGGATAGTTTTACTAATAATTGTTTAACTTATTTGAAAATAAATGTTGTGTTATTTGTGCCATAAAATGTGAAATAATTAAATAATTTTTTTTCCTGAAAAATCCAGTGAAAAATGCTGTACAATTTAGTTTTAAAATCCACCCAAAATGCCAGATGTGAAGCTGGCACAAAAAGTACACAATGCCAAAAAAGGTTATTATTGCAGTCATACAGATGAAGTAAACTATATATAAACATAATAAAATAGTTAAACTGATTAGTAATATAGTAGCATTATTTATGAGTAAAACATAAACATAATAGTACTGATATGAAATAAAGAAAAAATTAAATTTTTTCAACTGTTTTTTCCACCATGGAAGGAGCTTGCTGAGGATATATCATTTCCAAAACCTTACTTTGATGTCATTTGAAATTAAATCTTGTATGTTAGAAAGGGCTGCATTACTTCAAAATTTCTCATGAGTTTTGTAATGTAATAGAGATTTAAAATTCAGCAGGGTTAGAGCAAATGTCTTTTCTTCAATTTATATATCTAAAATTATAAAATATGTAATTGCATACAACAGCAAAAAATGCTGTTGCATGCAATTTCATATTTTGTAATTTGGTTTTATTATAAAATTCCTACAATGATGATAACTGAATTTTGTAATTTAATTTACTTTCTTATTTCGATTTTGTTTGCTAATACTTCTAAATAATTATGTTATTTTGTTATCAATATGGTGTGAAATTCTATTTCAGAAAGTGTATAAATTTACAGATGTGAGAGAAATCTCATAATGTATGAATAAAAATACATACTTAATTCTGTATATTACTATACAAAGGTTATAGCAAGTACACAAATGAGGTTTACTAAATTATACAGAAAATCAAAAATTTAGTAATAAAATTTTAAAAAATCTGAAAGATTTCAGATTTTAGTCACCCAAAATAGCTCTTTTACAGATTAATACAGTCAAAAGTCGTTAATCCGGACCTCAAAGCTACAAACTTTCTGCGCATGTGTCAACGCGTAATGCGTTAACGCATGCGCGTAATACCTTTACGCATGCACATATGCATGTACGCATGCACTTTAATGTATAACGGATGGTATAAGCTAAGCTAAAATTATTTAATTATCTATTTCAGTTAATGTTGCAGATTGCATTGTTCCTTAATCTTCGAATTGGAACCGGCTTATTATTTTTTGGAAACTGTTAGAGCAATTTTATAAAAAAAAGTTGGAACTTTTGATTATGTCAAATAGAATTTCCGATGCTGGATCTACAAAGGGAAAGCATGTTTTGATGTCCATCAAACAAAAAGTGGAATTGCTGCAAAAAATGGATAAAGGCTCCTTTGTTTCTCAAACCATTCCGAAATCTGTTTATCAATTTCACGCTGCTCTGCATGCAAGGGGGGGGTACGTCGCAACATGCAATTAACTGGAAGTTGATCTGTCAGCACTATCCTTATCTTCAGGGCAGATGTTTTTATTTTATTCAGCTTATAGTGTAGTATTTCATCTCAATGTACTCCGTCTTTGATATGATTTAAATCAAATTCCTGGTCATTATAAATATCACGAATACAAATCAAGTAGTTTTCTGGTTGCAATTTTCTAATTTTGACTATGCGAAATGTATGCTTTACGCATGCGCACGTTGAAAGAAATGTTTAATAAAGTAAACAAATAAATATTAAGCCCTTTTTTTTTTTGTTTTTGTAAATTTTGATACCCTTTAGATCATAATTGCTCTTTATTTCATAAATTACGGTTTCATATTTTTAATTTTATAATTTCTGCATGCCATCTTGCCAGATTTGAACTGATGATCTATAATCCGGAAAAATGGATAATCCACAATCGCTGAAGTCCCGACAAGTCCTGATTAAAGACTTTTGACTGTATAGTTTATCGCTAGTGATTAAGAATAAAGATGGCACCGGTGAAATAGTGAAACATTTTAGAGGATTCTAGATGAATAGATATTGAGATTAACATAGAAGTGTTCTATATCCTCTGTATATTGAAAGAGTGAAAATGTTATACAATGCAATTCTATAAAAATGAATAACATTTTTAATTAGATATAATATGATTTAAATGCATTTTTACTTAAATCAATTCGATTCAAAAGTAAAAAAGAATAATATTAAGAACTGCATCTCTTGCTTTTAAATAGTTTAGTTTGTTAATTGCTAACAGATTAAATTTGAAAGAAAAATTAAATATCCTATGATTTTTCAAATGGCAGCACACTGTTGTGCAAAAGATATAAGTATTTTATTTCAGGCAGTGATGGCCGATTTAAAAAAAAAAATCACCAAATTTGTTGATTAAATTTGAAAGTTAAACATCTTATGCTTTACCAAGTGGCAACATAACTGCTTTTAAATTACCCTATTATGTTAATCAAAAATGCATTAAATTCATATAAAATATGAAATAAACAAATTCCAAATTTGTGCTTTGAGGTGCACACAATGGGATGGAGGACAAAATGTGTTCAAAATTTGGTTTTGCCATTGTTTTTAACAATACAAAGAACTTACATATACTACATACACAGAAGTGCTTCAATATTTAATAACAGAGAACTATCCAATTTTAAGGGGGGAGAAGTTCGCTTTGCAAAAGAAATTTATCACATCTTTTATGGTAAATACTAATCCTGTATTGGTCAAAATAAAACATTAGAGACTGACAGATAAAATTGTTTATTTCATACAGTTATTTAGTATAACATGTAAATACACATTGTAGTGACTTCTAAATTACACTATTCATTTCTGAAGGGCAATTACATTTTTTAAAGGTGACAGATCAATTATATTTCTAATAAAAAGAATGAACAATTAGCAGATGCAGATGGCAATGCAGTCGCATTTAGCTTACTAGCAGATACAGAAGGTAGCTACAGATTGATAAAATTGTTTTAGATATGATTTAAATAAATTATTTTGCACAAGGAAAAATTTACAACAATTATTTACTTGTTTTCTTTTGAGAGGAAACTTTTTTTAAATGTTGCTATTTAACCCTTAGAATGGCATAGCTTTTGGATCTGCTTATGAAGAAAAGTATTCAAACATCATTTTATTTTTGGCTAAATTTGTTTAATGAATTATTTTAGCATCTGTTTTCATAAACTTTCATTCATTAATGCAATATTTGGACACATTATTGTCGTAAATGTGACTTATCAAAATCATAGCACAATAATGTATTATAGCATTCACAGGTATACTTTCTTTTTGCCTCATTCAATATGAAACAACCTGTATCAGAAAACTAAATATTTTAAATAAGAAAGTAATACAGTCAAAAGTCGTTAATCCGGACTCATCGGGACTTTGGCGATTCCGGATTATCGATTTTTTTGGATTATAGATCATCAGTTTAAATCTGGTAAGATGGCATGCAGAAATTATAAAATTAAAAATATGAAACCGTAATTTATGAAATAAAGAACAATTATGATCTAAAGGGTATCAAAATTTACAAAAAAAAAAAAAAAAAAAAAAAAAAAAAAAAAAAGCTTAATATTTATTTGTTTACTTTATTAAACATTTCTTTCAATGTAAGTTGTTTAAATTGCTTCGTTTTTTATGTGATGATACTTTCTCTTTAATTCTATAAACAGACATAATTTCTTTTTCAGTTATAAAGTTCCGCTGTTCAAGTCTTATAATTGCTGTGTCGAGAATACCGACTAATTTGTGAATCAAAATTTTTTCATTTTCAATAACCTAAGTGTCACTTTCTTCGCTATCGGAAACGAATTATAATGACGAGGAATTTGATTTAAATCATATCAAAGGCGGAGTACATCGAGATGAAATACTACATTTAGTAAGGAATTATAAGCCAAATAAAATAAAAACATCCGCGCTGAAGATAAGGATAGTGCTGACAGATCAACTTCCAATTGATTGCGTGCCGCAGCGTTAAAGATAAACAAACATTAAAGTTTAGATAAACAAAGGATATGCCTTTATCCATTTTTTGCAGCAATTCACTTTTTGTTTAATGGACTTCATACTTTCGATTTGTAGATCCTTTACATATTAGTAAATATATATCAGAAATTCTATTTGACATAATTGAAAGTTCAAGCATACTTTTATAAAATTGCTCTAACAATCTGCAAAAAATAATAAGCCGAATCCAATTTGAAGATTAATGAACAATGCAATCTGCAACATTAACTGAATTAGATAATTTTAGCTTAGCTTATACTGTCTGTAACGCATTCGTAAACGTATTTACACACACGCATATTCGCAGCCGTAAAGGTCTTACGCGCATGCGTCAACATGAGGCATGCGCAGAAAGTTTGTAGCTTTGAGGTCCGGATTATGGGTGTCCGAATTAACGACTTTTGACTGTATACATCAAATGGCCAAAAATCTCATGACCAGATAAAAGCAGTCATGCCGCTCAAGAAGGTTAAATATCCATTATTTCATTATTTGAAAATATTGATTTACATGTTTTTTAGCTTTCTAAACATTTTCAAAAATAATCCAGATCTTCCCAACCAATTTTTCGTATTCAAGGCTTCTCGTTTCCATGCGAGCCCTGCTATAGCAAAATATGCACTGGCTGTTAGGAAGAAATACTTTAAACAAAGCTAACTGAATTTAAATGGTACTTTTGGAATAATCCACATAAATATCTATGTATCCAGTCTATTTTATTGCAGAGATGCAAATCCCAGCAATAAAAGGTGTGTGTTTGTGTGATTATGGCAAAGCCTCGAGGGCTATCTGCCTAAGGGGAGGGATGCCTTCGTGGAGGACTTTCTAAGGGAAACTGGCTCGTATACACGTTACACATGGGGAAAACCACGAAAACGCCCATGCAGCCGGCCCATTCGCGGGATTCGAACCTCGGACCGAACTACCAGTGTTCAGCGACTTTACCGCTTGGCCGCTGGTCAGCAATAAAAGGAACAAAGACTAATAGCAATAATAATTCAGCAACTATTTATCTATATTCTTAAAACTAACAAATACAAACTTTTTTCTCAGTTACAAACTGTTAAAATATAATTCCATGTTTTATTGTACTTCATAAGTGGAAACATACCATTAAGTTTTCTTTTTTTCCTTTTTTCTCTTTCTTTTTTAGTCCAGAGGGGCTTTTGCCCTAAAGAACTATTAATTTGTTTTGCCACCCACAGCATATGGTAGCTGTCCAATTTACATGGCAAATGTCTAACCTTGATCACAATTTTTTGACATTGATGAAGACAATAAGTAATTTTTAAACCTTTGCTTATTAAGTTTGCATTTCACAAATAAGTTTCAGTAGTTGACATTCATTTGCAATAACAACAAAAATGGTTAAAAAATCACAATATAAATAAGCGATTACCGTTGTTTGTAGAAATCTTTCCGAGTTTTGATAAGCCAATCTGAAATATTTCTGCCAGTCATGTTATAAATGATATCGCTAGAGCTCACAGCGACATGTGGAGGGATGGAGCCGATGGCACTTGCTGGACAGACCTGCGTTCCGATAGTACATGGGCATGTTTCGAGAAAGGATCTGTCGTCCTCTTGTGAACCAATCAAAGCTGATTTATTGAAACTTCTCGGTTCACAGGGTATGTCTCTGTAATGGTACAAGCAAAAATAAATAAATACAGCATTTATGCTTCCAGTTTTTTTTTTTTTTTTTCACCTTTACTAATTTTTAATACCTTAGTTCTTGATTTATGTCAAATGGTGCTCTAGTGCTCTTTCTGTAATTCGGAGTAATTCTGATGCAATTCAAAGACTTATTTTATTCCTGATATTATTAAGAATATTTTTACAAATTATACTATTTAAAATAAAGTGGATTTATGAACTCATTATTTATAACAATTTATTTGAATATATATGTGTGTGTATGTGCAGCACATACATACTTACTTTTTAGATTTAAATAAGTTAACATGAAAGGGGGAACAGACACACGAAACACATAAATGATGACTTTAACTAAAAGTAATTGGTGAGTAATTATTATTCATTTTGATGATTCATTACAACCAGAAGTAGATTCCTTACCAAAAGAAAATTCAGAAAATTTCTTAATCTTATTCCCCTTTTTTGATTTTTAATCTTAACTTTTGGCTGCCATCAAAGCAAGAAGGCGTAAGTCGGCAGCTGTAAGTCAAGAACTACCCATATACTATAAATTATTATTTTTTTAAATAAGTATTAATTCATTTATAGAATCAGCAATTATATTAACACTTTTACTTATATTCAAAATTAATTAAATGAAATAATATTGATTTATGGGCTTCCCCAGTTTTACAAAAGTAAAACATAACAAACCATGCTAGAGATAAAAATGCTTTTTTTTTTTTTCCTTCCATACAGTGTTGCCACGGCTCGCTTTGAAATTGTTGAGCTTGTTAACCAAAATTTCGTTAAAGTGTTATGAAATATGAAATCTATAATAAAACAAATTTCAAATTCCAGATGACCATATTCAGGGGAGTATTACATTATTCAAAATTTGATTGCTCGAGGTACCTTTGTTTTATCACGATGCGAAAAACATTATGCAGATTCTTCATTATTTAATTTCTTTAAATATAACACAGGGCGATAAAATTTGGTGGCTACAATTTGAAAAGTGAATCAACGTTTATAGTAAATTGATGCAAAATGCCAAAAGAAAACTAATTGTCCTTCAGGATAAAATGCCCCTTTGGACTAATTGTCCTTCAGGATAAAATGCCCCTTTGGACTAATAAATTTTTTAGCAAATCAGAATGACGTAAAGCTAAATGTACTTATTATTACAGCTCACATTATTTAAACACTGTCAAGATTATCCATAAATTGTTAATTCACACCGCAAACCATTGCCAGATACCTGAACAAATCAAAGTTATTTATAATCAATTCATCATGAGAAGAGCTCTGAGTAGGCCACATATTATTATATTATTGCATTTCAATCCCATTTTCTTTTTCCCAGAAATTATTAACAATATATGATTTGCTACAGTGTGAAGAATACACTATATATTTCTTCCAGGCTGCAATATAGATCTACCTCTTAGTGGTGCACCCTGGTAATGTAGGAATATGGCTAAGTGATCTACACACTCATGTGTTGCCTACAGAGTTCTTCTCTATGGGTTCTTCAGTCGAATGCAGATGTTTTTTCCTTAGGCCAATAGGACTGAGCTTATGCAGAATTTGAATTGTTATGATACTGATGTTTTTACAGTTATTAAAGCAAATTTAAATACTGGGAAATCGAAATATTTCTCTTTCAAAGGTTATTCTCGATATATTTAAGCAAAATCTAGACAAATTGTGAATGGAATTCTTATAGAAGTTAAGGAAAAACCTAACTAACTTCTCACTTCAGAGTTATAAAGGACATGAATCAAACAAAAAAATAAAAACGAAATTATAAATTTCAATATATGGAAACATAACATCTTTAAAATAATTGCTATATATATAATCCTCCTAATGATAAACTCGATTTCACCTATCTCATTACTTAAACGAAAATTATTTTTATCAGGTACTTAAATATACCTATTCATATCTTATCAATACCTGTTCACCTACATTGGGATACCCACACACTAATAACCCTGGGAAAGAAGCTGAGGACCTCTTATACTACTCTGCATTTAAATTATTTATAATTATTATGATCTTCATACTTTTATACATTATAAAGGAAAGAAATTTAATCTAGATTTACTGTTTGCTACATCAGACCTTTTACCTTATGTCAAAAGAAAAGTATTAGATGACCCTGGTTCAGGTTATCGACAAGTAATTGTTGATATTATATTTGTACCATTACATAAAAGCATGTATGTTTCAAAAACATCTTGGAATTTCAAAAAAGCCAAGTAAAGGAATTTTCAGAAACTAAAAGACGTGCTTAATGTCAACAGATTGATTTTGGTACAAAAATCATTTCCAAATGAAAGATACTTTGCAGGATAATCTAGTATAAACCAAGCAGGATTGTGCAGGATAATTGATAATTTGCAAGGTAATTGTTAATATAAATCAAGCTGGATAATTTTTTGTGTTAAGAAATGTATTCCAAGAGGTAAGATTAAAGGCTACAGGTACTTCTGATCTTATAAATTTAAAATGAAGAAAGATAACCGAAACAGGTTAAGAAGAAAAGTGGAATTGACTGAATGGCCATCTTACATTCAGGCTTGGTGAAAAAGTTGCTTCTAAAAAAAAAAAAAAAAAAAAAAAAAAAAAAAAAAAAAAAAAAAAAAAAAAAGAGGGAGGGATGGGGAACAAATTATTAAGTACCTTTTAAACTTTTGTTCCAGATTGGCCCAATTTCTGTTCAAGAAGGTTACTTCTTTACAGGAATTAAAACAGTATGTTTTTCAAAACAATAATTGCAACTGTCAAGTAAGTTTACAAAATAAGACATTTAAATTTCAGTAATAGGACTTATTTCAGAAGAAACAATTTCAAAGTATAAGGTATGTCAAACAGAAAGTGACAGTAAAGTGATATTAATTTTTAAGAGTATTATAATACTACATATTAAAAACTCAAGAAATTAGGATAATATTATTTAAACAGATTACGGATCACACTAAACTATATAATCATACATAATCCAACTGCAAGGTAATTGATTGCATGCATATAAATCAGCTGTTTTACACGATATTTTTGTTAAGCACTCATTTAAGAAATGTATTTTCAACAGATTATAATTTAGGTACAGGAATGTATTCCAAAAAAATACGACAATGAAAGAAAGTAAACAGAACTTCTGAAGAAAAGAGAAAAAAAATTGACAAGGTGGGTTCAGGCAGGTGATGAAAAAAGAATTATCATTCTAAGCCATTTTGTGAAAAAAAAATTGTGAAAAACTAAAAAAAAAAAAGTAAAAAAAAAAAAAAAAAAAAAAAAAAAAAATTAGGGATATATCATAATTTTTTGCAAAAATTTAAAAACGAAAATTCATTCTAGATTATTAAAAAAACCCTACTTAGGGAATGGAATGTCTGTTACTTCAAGTAACAGGGTTCGTACACATTTCCTTACATAAAAATTAAGGACTTTTAAGGACCATCAAAGAAAAAATTAAGGACCTATCATGCAAACAAAAAAAATGAATAGAATAAATCAATTATCCATACAACCTGACTACATGCTTGTAATTTCACTTTAAAGAAACTAACAGAAGTGTGTATTATGCACTATTATTAAATCAATTTAATACTTACCATAAAACAATTTTGAAAATTAAAACTAAACTCTCTACAAGTTATGAAGTAGATAACATTAAATTAGGAACATAATTCTTGAAAAACATGTATAAGTGTATTTTACACTAATAACAGTCACTATTTTAGAGATTACATGATTATTATTTAACTTATTTGATATTTATTTAAACACAGTCAACTACTATTATAATCACAATGTAAGAATATTTTGCAGATTAAAATAACTGATTTGTAAACATACAATTATTTCCTTGGTTTTTTGAAAGATACTAGAATAATAAACTGTACAATAAAAAGATACAAAACATTTATGCTTTTTTTAAATCTGAAATCTTTTTCAGCTATTTTAACATCTAATTTATTTATGTCTATTTCCTTTTCTTTAAATATTCTTCTAAGTTCATTGCTTTGATAAACAAATCAATGTTCTGCTGGTCTCAGCTTCATCTGCTAAAGTATCTACTCTTCATTAATATCTTTAATGTCCCTTTGAAGAAATTTTTTCTTCTGCTTCATATAATCAATTTTCTTCCTCAATAATATTTCTTTTCCTCTTTAAATTTTCAGATTTAGTTAAAGATTTTTTGTTCTTCTAAATACTGAACTTTTAAATAATGAACTCCACTTCTTGCAGAAGCTGCTGCTGATCTCATTTCTTTATTAATTTCGATATTAAGAACACCTCCAAAAATTTTATGTAATCAAATACTATGCGTTGAAAAATGTATGATGAGTCACTTAAATTTTCAATTTCAATTGCTTTATTTACAGAGAAGCCCCTTTCCACAGAGGCCTGTTCATGTGACAAGATAAGAATACTTGTCACAATGAATACTTGAATAGTGAAAATATACATTTTTTACTATATATATATATATAATTTATTTCCTAAACAATATCAATTAATTGATTATATTATCTCCTAAGTTTAATTAAAGTAGAATTATTTTAAAAGAGTGAATCCATACTGGTAAGTTATATTTTGAAAGATGTATATATACATATATATATATATACAGTACAAAGTCCGGGATCCGGACATCCAATATCTGGAATGATCTAAAATCCGGACCTCAAAACCACTCAAAGTCCTTAAAAGTCCTCAAAACCACCACCAACCAATTTTTTAGGGCTTTTTTGAAGGGAAGGGGTATGCTTTATGCACGCGCATTAGATTTTTTTCCTCATCATAAAAAAACATGCCGGAAATAGCGATTCTTAATCTCAGTTTGGCACTAAATAAAATATCTCATTATTGAAGAAATAATTATTTTAGCATAAATTTGTGTGATTAGTAACTTGACTTCATAGCTGCATATCTGCTTGGCATAATCTCAAACCGAAACATTTGTTAATTTTACACCAACTAATA